CTAAAAATGAAATATACATGAGACAGATTAACAGGAGAAGAAAAAAAAACCCAAATTTTAATCATGTACACATGGAGGGTAATGAAATTGAGACCTAAGGAAATTGAAACCTACGGAAATGACCACAGCAAGAAGTTTTTATACTTCTTAGTCGAAGAGACAATAAATTTGTGAGGAGTAGACAGGAAAAAGAAAACTTACGGTCAGGAGCTTCAATTAGTATGAAATTCTAAACAGAATGTGGGCTGAGGTAGTAAATGAGTAAAAAGTAACAGGGTTTGTTTATATGGCCTTCTTAGGCTCTAAATTCTGTATTTCTGGTGATAAGGACTCCCTATCTCTCTACCTCTTGGTACCGCGAGGGTACCTTCCACAAAGGAGATTTATTTCCCATTTTCCTCAGGACAGAGGAAGGTCAAAGTGTCCTTGCACTGGCTGTTCCTTCAGTAGTTTTAATTCAAAGTAATCAACATGCCATCATGGCACATTTGGGGGGCAACATGCCCTGGGCCCCTACACTGTCAAGTAAAAATTTTTTTTAGGTACCGAGGGTGTTATAAAGTAAAATCCAGTCCCTGGCTTCAGGACGCTCAAATCTAGATGAGGGACAAAATATACAAAGAAAAGCTAGGTAGCCGCCAGGCAATGTTCAGTGAGTAGCTCCAAGGGTGTTAATGGTCAGAAGAGGATGATAGGGACTTTCCTGGGAAGATTTCCTTGTACTATTAATGAAATTACTTTTGGAAAGTACCTAGGGATGGGTTGGTTGCCAGAGGAACCAACCAATTGATGAAAGCATTGGAACTTTCAGTCCCCCACCCCATCCCTTCCATTTGGTTTCTTTCTAAGAACTCAAGAAGCAAGACAAAAATACACAGAAGGGAAAACCCTATGATTATTTTCTATGAATGTTAGACACACACACACACACACACACACACACACATACACACATACACTATGTCTGGATGGGGAAAATAACACACGGGAGGATTCTGATTTCCAGCCTCCTCTATTCCTCCATTCCCCAACTTAATCTCTACAACAGCAGAGATCTGGCCACTCAGGTGGACAGAGCACAGTAATAGTGGTGGAAGCTGAAGTCAAGTTGCTAAAGTCTACCCCCTTCCCCAAGAAACACGGTGGATTCTACCTCTAGTAGCATGGTTCTGGTTTGCATCTTATCCTCTTAGGTTGCAGGAAACCTTTGCTCAGGAAAAGCCACATCACTCTTGATAGCATCTTGGACCTTGGTTCCTGGATGCCATCCAGATATCATATTGCTGAACTGTTGCTTATTCAAATCTCTCTCAGATGTGGCATTCCACACCCATAATGCAGCTCGGTGTCCTCTCGACTCCCAGCCAAGTGATGCTCCCAGTACTGTCCTCTCTGGCAGGGAAAGGTTTATGGTTTATACCTCCAAACATATGACATAAAGTATGATTCATACCTAAACTGGTCAATAAGTACCTACTATTGAAGGTTCAAGAGAGAGGAGGCAAGGTTAAGAGACTGGAATGATACTACAAAGGGATACTGCTGAGTTTTCCCTTTTCTGCACTCCATTATTTCCTTATGGAACTTTGTCAAATGAAGCATATGAATTTCGTCTAATCCTTTCTTTGGAAATATCTTATTTTAGTTTTCGTATATCATAGAAACTTAGAGTCAGAAATCTTAAATCTCACATAGTTGAATTTTCTTTCTTTTCTTTTTTAAAGATATATTAATTTGAGGGGGGATGGGCAGTGGAAGAGGAAGAGAGAATCCTCAAGCAGACTCCCCACTGAGTCTGGGCGTGGAGCCCCAAGCAGGGCTTGATCCCATGACCCCAAGATCACGACACGAGCTGAAACCAAGAGTCAGATGCTCAACCGAATGCACCAGCCAGGTGCCCCACAGAGTCCAATTTTCTATGGAATTAAGGCATCCTATCTGTAACACACCTGGTCCAACACAGATAACATCTGTTGTCTGGATATTGTCTGTTCGACTGCTGACCACCTCTGATAAGAAATCTGTCTCTTGCTAGGCCAAGGGTAGTTAGTATACGCCATCATATGCTGCCCTTTCAGGGCATTCTCAGAGTACTCTCTGGGAAGGGCTCTACAATCATAATTTCACTCTGAGAGCACTTGCAGTAACTCCAGGACAATGCAAACAAGCTTCAATAGGCAGGATGGGGTCAAATATAAGATAACATGAGAACAAGATATAACTCTGAGGACAGACATGAGTTGATGGACAATGGCTTTAGGTAACATTTACTGAGTATATTACTGATTACTATTGTTCACAGGTCAGGCACTATTTAAGCACTTTGTATTTACTAGCCATTTATTTCTCACAATAATTTCATGAATAATATTGTCTCTATTTTCTAGCTGCAGAAACTGACGCACAGAGTAACTAATTCAAAGCCATGCAGCTGGAAAGTGAAAGAACTAGGATTTGAATCCAGGCCAATTGGATCTGGAGCCTGGACCCTAACCCCTATATAAGCTATCTTAAGAATGCCTGAACCATGTGCCAGGCACCATTCACTCATTTATTCCTCACAATAGCAATGTACTATTATGAAACAGCTAAGCAACTTGCCCAAGGTTGGGCAGCTAGTGAGTACTAAAGTGGGGACTCAAATTCAGGTAGCCTGTCTCTAGATATGCTCTTCTCCACTACTCTAAACCCCCTTCATGCTACGCTCCACGTAGGTGGTGACAGTATCAGACACAGAACTGTGCCATAGGCAGGCAAGGCAAGTGACAAAGTGGACAAGCCAGAATAGGTACCAGCTGGTGAAAATGTGTAGGGAAATGAGATACTGACTGTTATCCAGGATACCCAGAGGGCTCTCAACCCCATCCTTCTTGCTAAGGACTAGAGAAGGCAAATTATCTCTAGACAGAAGAAGCCTACACAATCAGAAAGAATGGCCTTGCAGAAGCACATTCAGGAAGCTGCCTCTGTGCAGAGGGAAGTTATGTTCAGATCTAATAGAAGACAATCACCAACACACACTGGCTAATGGGGAAATGAACCTAATATAACCTGCCAGTTTCTTCTTTCAGGAAGGGGGTGGGAGGTTTGCAGAGATCTGAATGATCACTGTGACTATCTGGAATGGAGCTATGACAGGGCAAGAAATTGTACTCACTGGATTCCCCTTCTAAACAGCTTTTCTGTGAACTATGTAGAAAGTTTCACGCTACATGAACTATTTAAAAAAATCCCTCTGAATGTTGCATAATACGTTGTGCTGTATATTGAACAATGCAATTAGTATCTTTTTCCGAGACCCATAAAATAAACTTCTTAACTAAGACTGAAGTCCTTTGGAGGCCACATTTGGTTGTTTGTTCATTCAGAGAATATAGCTTAATACTCTGAAATACTATCTAAATCAATGTTTAGAAAGTCATATTTGCAGGGGAAATTTGCATGTTTTTAAAAAAAGGAATAGATTCATTTACAAAGCAAGTAATTATTTAAAATATTCAATAATAATTCAATGTTTGTTCGCTGCAGTCATTTAAGAAATAGCAGTAAATTTTCAGACTTGCCCTCATAGAGCTTACCTTCTGGTGGGGAGGGAGAAAATAATCAGAAAAAAAAAATAAGTAAAATACAGGACATTTCAGATAGTGGTAAGCACTAATAAGAATTACGAAGGGAGGGGGACACCCAATTTATATAGGGTGGCCAAGGAAGACATTAAAATGCACATATTCCTTAAAGTTTAGGATTACGTAGTATTTCACCTGTACGGAGCGGTATCCGATATATATATCTGAGGCATATATCGGATATACATCACCAAAATAATATTAGGAGGCATTAAAAAGATGTAGAGGGTTTTAGGCTTCTAAATGGCAGCACTTTTAAAGATTAAACCCATAGTTAAATACTCCGGGTTTCAATTTCACTTTAATAATGAGTATTTGGAGTCTTTCGGTTGGTTTTTTTTCCAAATTAGTTTCCTAAGTAGCAGCAGGCGGCACATTTTCTCTAGAAGACTCTCAAGGCTACGTACACGTGCTCTCGAGAGCAGGACCGGCTTCATTGTTTGATTCCCTGGGGCACCAGTGTCTGGAACATACACAAGTTTGGTACCTGGAGTCCCCGGAGCCCACTGCACCTGCGCGTCCAGTAAGCCGAGCTGCGGGAGGGTGTCCGAGGGAGAACCTTGAGTCACAGGGTCTGCTCGGGCACGGCCCGTCGGTCCCGCCCGCCTCCGTCGTCAGCGGGGCGGGGGATTCCAACTTCACCAGCGGCAGATTGCTGACGAAATCGATGTGGGTTGAAGCGCATTCTGGTGTTTTTCCTCTGCCGTGGCGGCACGAATTTCTGAAATGGGGTCCTGTCTGCTCTAAAGGCGGGGTCGGATCCTGAGGCACAGCTGTGCTGGGCCAAGGTCAAACTCGTCCTCGGCCTGCGTGTGGACCCCGCCCTCGCGCAGCCCCTCCGGGTGAGGAGCGCGATGCGCACCTCTTTGTCTCCCGCCCCCTCGTTCCCAGTTCCGAGGGGCCGAGGTGCCCGGGCAGCCTCCCGCCCTCCCCTCCCGCTCACCCTTCCCACGTTGACTACTCTCGGCGACTGCATCTTTCCGCGGCAGAGAACGCGCGGCCTTAACCTTTCAGTCCCGCCTTCCTCCTCTCCACCCCGCAAATTTGCTCCCGCCTCATCCCTGACAGAAGCACCCCAATTGGCTCTCGCGCCGGGGGAAGACGCCCGCTGATTGGTCGGGTGACGCTCTTGGGGCGGGCCCTGGAGCAGGGTGACCGCAGGCCTGGAGGCGCGCGAGGACAGCTATTTCGCCCGCGGCCTCCGGTAGCGCCGGCTGGGTTTCGCGGGTCGCACCCAGACTCACCCGGCCAGGGAAAGGGTTGCATGAGCGGTGGTCCAAAGGGTTGGGGTTGGGGTGCCGGGAGGGCCTCGGGTCCGGGGGGGGGGGGTGCGGGGAGGGGGAGGAGGGCCGCGGCGCGGGGGAGCGCAGGGACATGGCACAGCTGGACGATGAGGAGGGGGTAGCGGTGGCACCCGGGCACCCGCCCGCGAATGGATACCTCCTGGTCCCGGGGGGCGAGCCCCCCGGAAAGCTAAGCGCCGAGCCGCAGAACGGGCTCAAAGCCGGCTGCCTGACCCTGAACGGAGTGTCTCGGGACAGCCTCGCGGCCGCCGCTCAACCCCTCGGCAGGCCTCAGACTCCGCTGGCTCCAGAGGAGGAAACCCAGACACGGCTGCTGCCCACGGGCCCCGGGGAGGAGACCCCCGGGGCCGAGGGCTCCCGGGTGCCCCAGACGGCGCTCTCTGCGCGGCGCTTTGTGGTGCTGCTGATCTTCAGCCTGTACTCGCTAGTGAACGCCTTTCAGTGGATCCAGTACAGCATCATCAGCAATGTCTTTGAGGGCTTTTATGGCGTCTCCTCCCTGCACATCGACTGGCTGTCCATGGTGTACATGCTGGCCTACGTGCCCCTCATCTTTCCGGCCACGTGGCTGCTGGACACCAGAGGCCTGCGGCTCACCGCCCTGCTGGGCTCCGGCCTCAACTGCCTGGGCGCCTGGATCAAGTGCGCCAGTGTCCAGCAGCATCTCTTCTGGGTCACCATGCTGGGCCAGTGTCTCTGCTCCGTGGCCCAGGTGTTCATCCTCGGCTTGCCCTCCCGCATCGCCTCGGTGTGGTTTGGGCCCAAGGAGGTATCCACAGCTTGTGCCACCGCCGTGCTGGGCAATCAGGTAAGAACTAGAGTGACACAGGAAAACCGGATGGATGGTTAAAGGAGCAGATCAAGGCATAGGCCGTGTGAGCTAGGCATATGGATGGGACCCTCAGGAGGCGGTTGTGTGTAAGTGCAGGGAAGGAGACGGGTCTTGGATTAAAGAGGGTATTTATTTGTAAGGACGGAACTTTGAAACCAGTTTGAAGTGAGCACCTTGTCATCTTGCTTTGAGAATTACCTGTAAAATAACTGAACTGGCCCATATATCCCTAACATCATAGAAAACTTGTCAGTGTAATAACCAGTGAGACTGAAGTAGGTATTTTTGCTGTCCCCAGTGTATTCCTTGTAGAAGGAAGGTGTTGGATTCCGGGAAGTTTTTCTCCTTTTGAGTGATCAATGTGAACAGCACCTGTTTTATTTTATTTTGGCTTGTTTTACTTATGTATTTATTTTTCTAAAGTTTATTTATCTTTTGTAGTACTCTCTACACCCAAGGTGGGGCTGGAACTCATGACCCTGAGATCAAGAGTTGCACACTCTTCCGACTGAGTCAGCCAGGCTCCCTTCCTGTTTAAATTCCTATGTTAGCAATCAGCAGAGTGCCTGGTACAAACAGTTATAAATGACAGCTAAATAAATGTTATGGTGGTAAAAACCTCTCACAACATTACTGAGTCCAATTCCAATTTTTAACTAAGAAAATGCAAGTCAGATCACAGATCATGGAACCCATTCTAAAAGGGTAGCTAATTTTGCCAATTCCCCCTTAAAGTGCTTCCTAGTCCTACTAACCTAACACCATAGGTTTAAATTCCAGTAGCATTACTAAGCAGAATGGAGTGTGTGTGTGTGTGTTGTAATTGCAGATTGATTCTTTCATTGTCATTTAAAATTTGCATAATGGAGCCCTGTGATACTTTATGTACATTATGTTGAGTATTCATTCAGCTTGAGGAGAATGTAGTTAAAAACCTATATACCATGAACTTCACCTCTCTCTATGCCTATATTCCTACATGCTATGTAACAAAAGAATGTTACTCTCTTACTTCCGATCTAACACTTGTTTCAAGATCACATAAGATTTACCTAAAATCCATAAAAAGACTAGCTCTACATGTTTATTACTTTATGTTTATCTTCTTTCTCTAAAAGTGCAAAAGAAAGGGTAGTTTGAACTGTAGTTGTTGTGTATTCAAAATAATTTATAACTGATATTTTAGTTGGTTGCTTCCATATGTTTAGATAGGAACTCTTATTTTTCATTTACAAAATTATATTCCATATTCATACTTCATTGAGCATGACAGAAGTATCATTAACTCCATATCTGTGGATTATCTATTTATGGATAATAAATGGAAATGTCTTCTCAAGGCAGATTTCCCTCTGACGTTCAGCACACCTCTGCCTTCTACGTACATTCTCCCTACGTGTTCTCGTCCTTCCCAGGCTGCAGTAGCTGTGCACCTGTTCATGGCCCTATTTTCAGCCTAAATTATGGAGTGATCATTTATATTAATATTCAACAGTACTGAGCATTCACCAAGAACCTGGCACCATGCTAAGTATTTTACATGCACTGTGTCCTTGAATTTAATAATATAAGGTAGGAACCATTAGTCTCTCCATTTTATAGATACAGAAACAGAGTTGAAGGGATGACCTTATTTTCCAGAAGCCACACAGCTAACTGATGGCAGCATTCACAGCCAAGTCTGTCTGATTCCTGCATCCTGGCTTTTCACTGTCTGTCTCTACTGCCAGGTCTCTAACCTGAGAGACCCTTTAAAAACATGGATCAGATCCTGTCGTCTTTTGCTCTGCTTTGGACTCACCAGTGATTTCCCATAGTACTTAAAATCTAAACTCTTCACTCTGTTACAGAACCTTATACTAACATGTCTTCTTCGGCTCCTTAAACAACACTAGGCTTGGATTTTGCATGAGGGCCTTTGCAGAAGCATTCTCTCTGCCTGGGATGTTCTTCCTCCTAGGATCACGTTATTACATCCTTACCGTCACTCAACTCTCATTTAAATTCATTTTAAATTATCATTTTGTGGCCTTTCTTGAGGATCCCAGTCACTCTCTTATCACATCATTATACTATCTCCATACAGCGCTTATCACTGTCTGATATATTTATGCTTATATATTAATTGTTACTACTCATTTCCTATCCCCACCATTAGATTGTAAGTTTCATGAAAATAGGCATGTGGTCTGAATGTATACAGTTGTCTCACCAGCACTTAACACAGTGCCCAGCACATTATAGATTCTCCATAAAAATTTGTTGAATAAGTGGATGAGCTTCAGACTCATGTAGATACAGGCCAGCTGAATATTTCCATATGACCCCGCCCATCCAAATTTACCTCATCTCCTTGCTTATTTCTCTGCATTTCTACTGTCACTATCTTAGCTTTGGCCACCGGCAGCCCTTACTTAGACATTGCTGGCTGATTTTCCTATCCGCAGCTCTTTTCTCTTTCCCTGTTACTCTCCACATCCATCCACTGTGGTCTTTCTAATGTGCAGATCTGTCCAGGGCACGCCCTTCTACTCTGCAGTGGCTTCTGTTGCCCGGAGGATAAAATTCAAACTCTCTAATGAGACCACGGGAGACCCTTTGGATCTGCCTCCTGTCAACTCTCAGCTTCCCCTCTCCAGATCCCCCCATTCCTCACATCCACATTCTTTCTCTGCTCTGAGGGGAATTGTCCGCTACTTCCAGCTTCTCACAAGGTCATGCTCTCCTCCTTCCTTTGTACATGATATTCCCTTGGCTGGGAACACGCAGATTTCACGTGGCAAACTCCACTTTCTTTTTCAGATCTTTGCTCCTCCAGAAACTTTTCCTGAACCCCAAGTCTATACAAAGTGGTCCTTCAAAGTAGTTTCTTAGCTAGGGCAACCGTATGTTCAGTTAGCCAGGGATAATCCAGGTGTAGAGCTAACTATTCATTTAGTCCCTTTCACTCTGAATAGTGTTCTCATTGGCATGATAGATCCCATGATCATCGCAGGCTTTGTGCCCTCTACCTCTCCATCACTGTACTTACCATGCTGTCTTGTAATCACCTGTTTAATGGTCTCTATCCCGCTTTTTGTAAAGGAGCAAATGAAGTGTTTGGTGACTCTTACTATCTCTCTCAGCCTCCATTTGGAAACCAGTCTAGGGCCCTTCCTCCTCATCTCCATCCCTGAAAGAATCTGCTGTCTTTCTCTTTTGAGCGTCTTTCATTTTATTTCTTTCATTGTGATCATCCTATCCAACCTTGTGTTTTTCTTACTAAGGCAAAATTCACATAACATAAAATTAACCATCTTAGATTATAGCGCAGTGGCATTTAGTACATTCGCCGTATTGTACAACCATCCCTCTATCTAGATCCAAAACATTTTCATTTACCCTCAAAGAAGACCCAATACCCACCAAGTTCATCTTTTCTGAACTTTACTTTGCATATTCTTTTTTTTTTTTAAGATTTTATTTATTTATTTGACAGACAGAGATCACAAGGAGGCAGAGAGGCAGGCAGAGAGAGAGAAGAGGAAGAAGGCTCCCCGCCGAGCAGAGAGACCAATGCGGGGCTCGATCCCAGGACTCTGGGATCATAACCTGAGCCAAAGGCAGAGGCTTTAACCCACTGAGCCACGCAGGCGCCCCTGATCTGCATATTCTTACTCCTCTTTTTGATTGTAAGCATCTAAAGTGTAAGAATGGTATCTTACCCATCCTTACAGCAGAATCATTCAAATAGTAGGAGTTTGTTGAATAGTGAAGGCATTTGTCAGCAACTACCCTTTAACAGTACAGTAGTGAAAAAAACCAACAAAACATTAGAACGTGGTGTCGTTGGTTTTTTTTAAATAATTATTTATTTGGGTAATCTCTATACGCAGTGTGGGGCTCGAACTCACGACCCCGAGATCAGGAGTCTCACGCTCCTCCAACTGAGCCAGCCCAGCACCCAAGAACATGGTGCTTTAGAATGTACACCTTACACCTTCAATACACAAGCTGTCTTCTCTATGCTGTATTAATGGCCAGTATGTCCTTTTTTTCTCTTATTCATAGTAGCTATTACCAGGATTGTTTATTTTTCAGCTTGGAACTGCTGTTGGCTTTTTACTACCACCAGTTTTAGTGCCCAACACACAGAATGACACAGATCTGCTGGCTTGTAATATCAGTACCATGTTTTATGGGACATCATCCATCGCCACGTTTTTATGTCTTTTAACAGTAATTGGTAAGCAAATTATTTTCCCTGTTGCTTAGAGAGATAAATGCATGGCCAACATATGGAAATCAAAGTAGCTGACCCTGAACATTTTCATGATAATATCTCGAATGCCATTTGCTTGTTTCATTCTTGCTGTTGCACTTGTTCAGATAATGAATGCTACATCCCTAGGGATATGTTATGGTCAGCTACCATCTACTTTAATATCGTAAAGGGTTTGAAGACTAATTCATCTGATTTCTCTCCCTACTAACGGTTCTTCCCGCATAACCGTGGTTTCCAACATGCCACCTGCCTCCCGTTTGCATCTTCTTCTACATTTTCTGCGGCTTGTGCTAACAAACCCAGGAACAAATCCTTGTCATGCTTTGAAATGATGCAAAGAGGCTGCAACCTTTTTTTTCTTTTTTAATGAGAAATCCTTCCAAGGATCCCTATTTTAACAATTAACTGGATCTGAACATGTTGACCAGTGAACGATCCTGGGCAGTGGTAAGCTGTTCCGCAGAGCCTCACACTGGCCACTGCCTGCTTGTTGGGCCACTCCAGCAAAGCACTGCTGTCACCACTCGTCCCTGAGTCCTCTCGTCGGGGCCTGTCTCTTGAAGCAGTCAGTCCAAATCAGCTGCAAGCAGCCATCATCAGTTTGGAAGAAGGTTTGGGAAGGTCTGCTTTTTAAAGTTTATTTATTTATTGTTTAAAGATTTTATTTATTCATTTGACAGACAGAGATCACAAGTAGGCAGAGAGGCAGGCAGAGAGAGGGGGGAGGCAGGTTCCCCGCTGAGCAGAGAGCCCGATGCGGGGCTCGATCCCAGGACCACGGGATCATGACCTGAGCCGAAGGCAGAGGCTTTAACCCACTGAGCCACCCAGGTGCCTCTAAAGTTTATTTTTAATGGGAAAAAATTTTGCTCGCAGGGAGGACAGGTTTTTTTCAGGAATGTGGTTGATAGTATAACTGTAATATGGCCCTTTGGGCACTCAGGATATCTTAACTTGATTTGAGGAAGAAAGCAACTTGAAAGTTGAAAGATCATCTTTTAATCATTAATGTTTACATTAAATTGCATTATAGCTGTAGTTTTAAAATTTATAAGGTTAATTTTCACCATGGCTGTAATAGTAATGAAAAATTCAAATGTTGTGATCTCTAGATCACAAAGTTTTCAAAGGCGTGTAGGTGGAAGACTGTTTTGGTAGAGACTGCCTTCATAGGTGAACTGCCCATACATTTAATTTACCTTCAGATAATGAAAAAAAATATTCTCTTGGTAGCATATAAAGTATTCTGACATGCTAAATCTCCTCATGGTTGGTTTTTTTGTTTCAGTTAGGGAGCGACATTTTTGCTATGACTACTGAAAAGGGACAAATCATCCCTGTACTATTTCAGCAGTTTAAAAAAGCTTTAAAAGAAATCTGCAGTTGACCCTTGAACAACATGGGTTTGAACTGCACACGTCCATTTATACATGGGTTTTTTATAGTACTGTAAAAGTATACTATAAAAGTACAGTATTTTCTCTTCCTTATGACTTTTTTTTAAGATTTTATTTTTTTTTTAATTTTTTTTTAAAAGATTTTACTTATTTATTGGACAGAGAGATCACAAGTAGGCAGAGAGGCAGGCAGAAGAGAGAGGAGCAAGCAGGCTCCCTGCTGAGCAGAGAGCCTGATGCGGGGCTCAATCCCAGGACCCTGAGATCATGACCCAAGCCGAAGGCAAAGGCTTGAGCCACCCAAGCATGCCCCTCCTTATGACTTTCTTAGTAACATTTTCTTTTCTCTAGCTTACTTTATTTTGAGAATACAGTGTGTAACACATATAACATACAAAATATATGTCAATCAGCTATGTTATCGGTAAGGCTTGTGGTCAACAGTAGGCCATTAGTTGTTAAGTTTTGGGGGAATCAAAAGTTATACATGAATTTTCAGCTGTAGGGGATTGGTGCCCCTAACCCCCATGTTGTTTAAGGGTCAACTCTATGTTTTTTAAAAATAAACTCTTAAGTCTACTTCTCCGGTAGCCATATTTGATTTGCTAGATAATATATAGTTTGTATATATTTTGCATAAATGGATCCTCTGTTAGCAGTAGGGATTATTAAAATGTAAAATCCTCCTTCCTGCGATTGCTTGTGTATCCTCACATCAATTCTGGTCTTCCTTTTTTTATTGTCCTTTCATTGCTTTATCTCTTTGGAAGAAATGAGAGAACAGGTTCTATATAAGATATGTCTACATGTGAAATTATATACATGACACATATGTGTTTAAGTATTTCTATAGGGGATGCTACAAATATAAGGCTTTTATTTCTCAAAGGAAGGGGACAGAAAGGCATTATTAATAGGTTTGACCTAGCACCTATGTTATTTGAGAAATTAAAGGAGACATATACATGTACATTATTACTAATTTATGCTCTCATAGCTTCTGAATAGACAGTGGAGATGGAGCAGGGAAGAAAGGGCTCACTGTCAAGTTTTGCTTGGTGACCTGTAATCTTAACCTTAGGATACCAAGCATAGTATAAAAGCAAGATAATATACAGTAGTGACTTGAATGTCTTGGGTTGAAAATCATGACATTTATATACTTATTTGTTTTTATTTCTTTTTTTTTTTTTAGTTTTTTTTATTATTTATTCAACAGAGAGATAAAGAGCACAAGTAGACAGAGCACAAGTAGGCAGAGGGAGAGGAAGAAGCAGGCTTTCTGCTCAGTGGAGAGCCTGATGCAGGGCTCAATCCCAGGACCCTGGGATCATGACCTGAGCCGAAGGCAGCAGCTTAACCGACCAAGCCACCCAGGTGCCCTGAAAATCATGACATTTAAACAAAAAAATTTATCTGTTTTCCTTATTCTCAAATACTTGCTATTGAAGAAGATAGGGATTATTTTTAAAATCCCTACTTAAAGGCCCTTAATTACTAAAAGAAAATCCAACTTCCTTCTAAATACTTCCCATAAATACTTTGGAAGCCCAACCAAATTTTATAAAGTAATTTGGCTTTGCTGTTGCTTTTCAGCAATGTATCATGTACTAAATTGGTATTCAGCGGTCTTTCAAAAATACTATCTTGAGGCTTATGTCACATACCACTGTTGCCCTCCCTCATGGAGCATACTCGTGAATGTAGCATTTCTAGGAATCAATCTAAGCCTTCCACCAAATCTCACACTAATACCTCATTCTTCATATCCTACCCAATTGTGGCCTGTAGCATTTGGTGGTTTGGTAAGTACCAAACACGTTTGGCACACTCGATGCTGTATCATCTAATCCTCATAGGCATAGGAGGACGGCACTAATATCATTCCCATTTCGTAGAAAATGTGGTAGGAAAGTAGAACACAGCATTGAAGTGAATGTAATCTATCCATGGTCACAGTGAATACTGAAGGAGAAATTTGAGTCTAGGTACCCTAACTCCATATTTAAAATGTTATATATAAAAATATGTCATTTTAATTTTTATTTAGTCTTATTTTTATTCAAGTTTAAATTTCTCTTGTATAAGTGGTAATGCTGTTGTGTATGAAAGCTGTCCTTGTGTAGGAGGGCAGTAAACTCTGTCACTTAACTCAAGTGTGCAAATTGAAACCCTTAGCTTCCTGATTCACTAACATGAGTGGATGAGAGAAACCAGACGTAAAGGCAATCAAAATATTTAACGTTAAGGTACTTAAACACATGCGTATATAACATATATGTAAAATTCTACTTTTGATTCTTATATTCAGGATATTTATAGATAGGCTGCTGTTGTAAACATTTAACAGAAATATATTTTACTTAGTCTGTAAGAATTTCAAGCATGCGAGATAAAGTCTCTGACTTTTGAAAGTAGGTATTCCTGGGGCACCTGGGTGGCTCAGTGGGTTAAGCATCTGACTTCCACTCAGGTCATGATTTCGGGGTCCTGGGATCAAGCCCCATGTTGGGCTCTGTGCTCAGAGGGAGTCTACTTCTCCCTTTCTCTCTCCCCCTATTTGTGCTCTCTCTCTCAAATAAGTGAGTAGATCTTTTTAAAGAAAAAAAGTAGTCCTGAAAATGACACTGTATTCCATGTAGCATTCAAAAATTATAAGATTTTGCGTATATTATATCATATAATCTTCATAAGAACTCATTATTTCCATTTTATGTATGAGAAAGCTATAGTTGAGAGGCAGGAATTGACTTCTTCTGAGTTACACAAAGATATGAGGCAGAGCCAGTATTCAAACTTATATGTATCTTGTACTAAGTTCATATGTGGAATGTCTGCTTGAGGGACAAATAATGAAATCAAAAGATAACGTTATTATCTAATTCCAAAAAGTACAAGTAGTCCTAAGCACAGTAGATTTCCTTCTTATTCTTCATGGGAGAAAGGGTTTGAATGTGGTGCCCCAAAATCCTTTGGCTACTTTGGAGAACAACTGCTTGAATGGTATTATTATTATTTTTTTAAAGATTTTATTTATTTATTTGACAGAGATCACAAGTAGGCAGAGAGGCAGAGAGAGAGAGGAAGGGAAGCAGGCTCCCTGCCGAGCAGAGAGCCCGATGTGCGATGTGCAGGGCTCGATCCCAGGACCCTGGGATCATGACCTGAGCCAAAGGCAGAGGCTTTAACCCACTGAGCCACCCAGGCACCCATATTATTAATATTATTAATGTAAGCTCTCTGCCCAGTGTGGGGCTTGAACTCATGACCTCAAGATCAAGAGTTGCATGCTCTACGGACTCAGCCAGCCAGGGGCCCCTGTAGTTAATTATTTTATTGGCATACAGTATTTGGTGGGGAGAAGAAAGAAGAAGTCTACCGCTTTTTAGTTTCAAAGGAAAGAAAAAGCCATATTTCATCTTTTGAAGGAAGCAACGCAAAGTAAACAGAGTCATAGACCAGTGGTTTTCTGTTCCTCTGTTTCTTTTTCTTCCTATAGACTGAAACCCAACTTTAGTGTATTGTGTAGCTGATAGATACGGGCCTAATTTTGTTCAACAGGGCAGATGGCTACCTGAAACCAAATGCTATCACATCTTCCGAAAATAAATTCAGCGGAGCTGAAGACTAATCCGAATTGTTTTCTCTTTGCATTTGAATTCAAATCTGAGCCATTTATACTTACTTTACCAGAGTAAATAAGAACCTAGTAAGAGATTGACGACTCACCAAATCCCCATGACTACCTTGTAAGCATGGTTTTTACATTCTGAAATTTTGTTTTATAACCAAGTGAGTTGTGTATTACCACTGTTAGGAAAAAGAAATAGCTCCTATCTTAACTGGGACCCAAAGAGACTTTCAGGGAAGGACCACAGGTGTCCTCAATAGCAAGGAACAGATAGGGTGAACAGAAGAGAAGGAATTGCAACAACTTAAACAGTTTATGTCTACCAGTCCTCTGATACAAGGACGTTCAAAAGCAAATATTCATGAGTATGTACCCTCTTGAATTACTTATGACACCTGTAAAAATAGAAGCCTGTTTTAGTTTGATGCATTTTCAGTATATCCTAATTAATCGATGTTTCAGTGAGCTCTGCTCCCATGAATCCACCTGGACCTTTTCAGTTCTAGAGGTGTAATTATTGTATCAAATATTAGAAGAAAACAGATACTAACTCAAGACAGTCCTCTAAAAGGTCAGTAACATATTGGTTTGCTTATATCAGATGTTACTTGTAATTACAAATTGAAGTAAGTTTAGAAATGGAATTGTTGAATACTACTAGAATATATATTAATTTTGCTTAACTGAGAATGGAATAATCAGTGGGCAAGGTTGTGACATACTACTGATGGTTTTGCAGCTATGTGAATTGGCCAGATCTCCGAGTTGGAGTCCGTTTCAGAGGACTGGGAGGATATTCTTCAGAAATTAATGAAAATGAGGGGTACCTGGGTGGCTCAGTGGGTTAAAGCCTTTGCTTTCGGCTCGGGTCATGATCTCAGGGTCCTGGGATCGAGCCCCACATCCCCACATCGGGCTCTCTGCTCAGCGGGGAGCCTGCTTCCTCCTCTCTCTGCCTGCCTCTCTGCCTACTTGTGATCTCTGTCAAAAAAAAAAAAAAAAAGAAAAGAAATTAATGAAAATGAAAGGCTCAATATATGGCTTTAACTACCTCTTTAAGCTTAAATGGATTTAGTCTGCTCAGTAAGGAAGACCATGTATTTAATTACCTTTCCATGTGTGTTTCCAGCATTCAAAGAAAAACCTCAGTATCCACCAAGCCAGGCACAAGCAGTTCTTCAAAAAAGCCCTTGTGCTGAGTACTCCTATAAGAAATCAATAAGGAACCTATTTAAAAACATTCCTTTTGTCCTTCTGTTGATCACTTACGGTAAGTGGTTTTCTTTTACTTTCTTTGATTTCTGTATAAAACTGAGCATTGTAGGGGCGCCTGGGTGGCTCAGTTGGTTAAGCGACTGCCTTCGGCTCAGGTCATGATTCCGGATTCCCAGGATCGAGTCCTGCATCGGGCTCCCAGCTCCATGGGGTGTCTGCTTGTCCCTCTGACCTTCTCCCCTCTCATGCTCTCTCTCTCTCTCACTCTCTCTCTCAAATAAATAAATTAAAATCTTTTAAAAAAACAAAACTACTGAGCATTGTAGATTCTTTTCATTTAATCTAGTGGTTTGAGCTTTAATTAATGAGATAGGTTTGTTAACTACAAAAATAATGATGGCATAGTCATAAACTTAAATTTTGAACTAAAAGCAAAAACTTCAAGATGGATTTTCTTCATAATTTCTTAACCCAATTTCTTAATAATTTCTTGATCTAATTTCTTTTCTTTTCTTTTTAAAGATTTTTTTTTTTTTATTTATTTGACAGAGACATAGCAAGAAAGGGAACACAAGCAGAGAGAGTGGGAGAGGGAGGAGCAGGCTTCCTGCTGAGCAGGGAGCCCGATGTGGGACTCGATCCCAGAACCCTGGGATCACGACCTGAGCTGAAGGCAGAGGCTTTAACCCACTGAGCCACCCAGGTGCCCCTTCTTGTGTTTTTAAAATAAAATATAATAGATCTCAAACAGACAAGCACTGTCTTCTCTTTTGAGTTTTCGCTGAGTATTTTAAGTCCTTTATGAACTGCCTTAATCATGTGGGAAATGTCATCAATAATCCCTGCCCTGCCCGTGTGGGAAGTGGCATCCATTTTGACTACTTGGGGTCGGTACTAGACATTCATGCGATCACCTTAACCAGTTCAAACTTGAAACAATTCTTTTTTTTTTTTTTTAATTTTTTAAAGATTTATTTATTTATTTATTTATTTTAATAAACATATGATGTATTTTTATCCCCAGGGGTACAGGTCTGTGAATCGCCAGGTCTACACACTTCACAGCACTCACCATAGCACATACCCTCCCCAATGTCCATAGAAAAACAATTCTTATCCTTCTAGATATTTCAAGGTAACTGACGGATACTCACCCTGACTCTGTAGCTTTGACCGCAGACACCAACCTATTTGGTTCCCTTCGGAGTTTGCTGACAGTTTGTTTTTTTATATCAACACCATTTATAAGAATGGCCAACACCCCCTCTTTCTGTCTTACTGGTCTTCAGAAGTCACTCTCCGCTGTTCTTTCTCTTCTTGACAGCTTTTTGGGAGAACGCACCGTGGTTACATAACTGTTGTACGAGTCGTAACAAATGATGCCCTGACCTAAACTCTCACTCACCCTTTTATCAGGATTATTTCATCTTTTTCTCCTTTTTTTCTTTTTCAGTGAAAATAGTTGAGCACAAAAGTAGAACATTTAATATAGTGAATTCCTATGCACCGATCATCATCCTGCTGTAATTACCAACATTTCGCTATTCTTGCTCTATCTCTTCCCTCTACCTTTTTCCTGAAATTTTTCTTCCCTGGAATATTTTTCTTTTTTTAAGATTTTATTTATTTAGGGGACCCTGGGTGGCTCATTTATTTATTTTATTTATTTATTTGACAGAGAGAGAGAGATTACAGTAGGCAGAGAGGCAGGCAGAGGAGGAGGGGGAAGCAGGCTCCCCGCTGAGTAGAGAGCCCGATGGGGGGCTCGATCCCAGGACCCTGAGATCATGACTTGAGCCCAAGGCAGAGGCTTTAACCCACTGAGCCACCCAGGTGCCCCTTCCCTGGAATATTTTTAAATTAATCCCAGATGTTATATCCTATCCCCATTAAATATTTCAGCATGCCATAGTGCCTTTTCTTAATTTTCATGGTTACCTCCACTGGTTAGCTTAAACCTAAAACACATAACTAGGAAGTAAAGAAAGTAACAGTGGGTGATTATTATCTGTAAGAGCAAATTCATTTTTGTAGCCTGTGGTTTAAGGAAGAAAGATTCCTACCCTCCTTCTCTTCTCACTGTCTCCCGAGATAAGACTTTGTTTGAGCCAATTTATAACCAGCCTCTGGTCACAGACACAGGCACACACACACACACACACACACACACACACACACACACAAACGTGCCTCCACAGGCTCATAGGTCATAAATTCTAGTCTCTGTAATTTTGTGCCATTATTCCTTTTACCTGAAATGTGCTCCTTTTTTCCCTTAAGCAGTCCTACAAGAGCTGGCTTAATGTTTGCCTCACTTACTCTCTAATATAAATAATTAAATCTTTAAAAAAAAAAAAAAAAAGGCAGGAAGAAGGCATTGAGAAACACTGTGGAGAGTTTGGTAATATTCCCCAGGAGAGCTGGAAAATGTTCTCAAGCTTGTTTTCTTCACTGAAGGGGTGGCTAGTTAGGGATCATGGTTTTGAATGAGTGAGTCACATCACACCTTTTTACAGGGCCCCTGTCTCCCTCCATAACTGCTATTATATATAAAGTTGGAGGAAACTTGCACCTGGGATAGACTGGATAGGGACTATATTCCTAGGACAGGTTTTCAGGATTATATACAGTGTCCCAAACTTAGGAACCAAAGAGTCTAAGACAACATTTTCTTGCGGTGAGGCTGTTTGGAGAGAACGTGTACCTTCACTCTGCCACTTGTGCTATTTGCGATCTGAAACGCAGACAAATAATCTAGGCTCAGATAACAGTATTTCTTGCTCTTATGATCCTCTATCCTGACTCTTGCTATCTTTACTCCAGTCTGGAATAGATCCAAGACCCGTGGAAGGTGCAGCACAGGGGAGTACCCTCAGGCCAGTCTTCCTGGGCCTCCCCCGGCTAACCACGCTGGGTCCCTCTGTGTATCTGAGCTCAGTGGGAGGTGGGCAGCAAAGGCCAGTTACTCAGGGTCCTTTGATACGATCTTTACACAGCTCTATGTCTCAACCTGCAATCTCCCATTTTAACAGGGCTAGTGAGGGAACTTGACCAATGGTCAAATTCCTGCGAGAGAAGTAAGGGCCAAGGACGACAAAGATAATGTCAATGAAGAACAAGGTGAAGGACAGACACATCTCAGACACCAGGATGTATAAAGCGGTGGTAATTAAGATGCCGTGTATAGTCTAGGGATAGACTATTCAGTTACTGGAACAGAGTAGAGATCCCAGTGACCTACTCTCTGTATGCGTGTGCAGGCCGGTTTGTATGATGGCCGTGAAATTCTGCTAATGAAGATTCTCAGTGGCCAAACACGTCAAAATTCAGTTATTATCGGTGCTGCGTGTTCAGGGCAAGTTGACAGCAAGGTGCTGCTCCCCAGAGTTGACTCAGGGATCCAGAATGACATCTTGGACCACGCTGATAGGATCACTAGAGTGCAAAGTGGGACAGGTCACTTCCGCTCACATTGAAAGTCATGTGGCCATGGCCCTGAGTGTCTGGAAGGAGAAAAACTAGAATGCAGTGATCCTCTCGTTCCTAGTGTCACTTTCTCTGGTTTCAGCAATCTGGTCACTCTGGTTTCAGCTCCCCAACCGGCACAGTCAGGGAGCACATGCTCCTCCTGCTGACCTGTCGCAGGGGGTCAGCAAGAGCCTCACCCCACGTCACACGGTTTAGGCCATTTACCCCATTTCATCTCATCACGTAGGTACTTCGTCATCTCACATCATCACAATTAAAAGAAAAATACAGTATGATAAGATTTTGAGAGAGAGAGAGAGACCACATTTACCTAACTTTTATTACTGCATATCGTTGCAGTTTTTCTGTTTTATTATTGTTGTTGATCTCTACTGTGCCTGATTTATAATTAAACTTTACCACATGTATGTATATATGTGTATACAGGAAAAAACATGGTATATGTCGGGTTCGGTACTATCTGCAGTTTCAGGCGTCCATGGGGGACTTGGAACAAATCCCGGCAGATAAGAGGGGACTGCTGTATTCGCAAACAGCTCTAATGACCAGAATGTGCATATATGAAAGCCAGGTACTTTGTATAAGAGAAACCATATAGTAAATTGTCCTGGGATAATTGATTATCCATATGGGATATGGGGAAAAAAATTAGCTCTCTCTAGCATACCATGAAAAAAATGAATTGCAATGGATTAAAGACCAAAGGGTGAAAATTAGAACTTTCAAGTTCCAAGATAGGAAACCGGCTTTAATATTCTTAAAAGAATTTCTCGGGATGCCTGGGTGGCTCAGTGAGTTAAGCGTCTGCCTTAGGCTCAGGTCAGGATCCCCCAGTCCTGGGATCGATCCCCATGTTGGGCTCCCTGCTCAGCAGGGGAATCTGCTTCTCCCTCTCCCTCAGCCCCTCCCCCTGCTTGTACTCTCTCTCTCTCTCTCACTCACTCACTCACTCATTCTCTCTTAAATAACTAAATAAAACCTTTTTTTTTTTCAAGAAAGAATTTCTTAATATAACAAAGAGAAGGGATGCCTGGCTGGCTCAGTCGATAGAGCCTATGACTCTTAATCTTGGGGTTGAGACTTCAAGTCCCACGTTGGGTGTAGAGATTACTTAAAAATAAAGTCTTAATAAATAAACAAAACACACATAAACCCTAAAGGAAAAGATTGGTAAATATGATTACATTAAGATAATGGTCTTTTAGGGGTCCCTGGGTGGCTTAGTCACTTCAGCATCTGATTCTTGATTTCACAATTCAGGTCATAATCTCAGGGTCATGAGATCAAGCCCCCTGTGGGGCTCACACCAGGCATAGAGCCCACTTAAGAGTCTCTCTAACCCTCTTCCTGTGCCCCTCCCCACCCTGCATGCACATTCTCTCTCTCTCTCTCTCTCTCTCAAAAAAAGTTAATGATCTTTTCTTTTTTTTTTTTAAGATTATTTATTTATTTATTTATTTGACAGAGAGAGATCACAAGCAGGCAGAGAGAGAGGAGGAAGCAGGCTCCCCGCTGAGCAGAGGCCCAATGTGCGGCTCGATCCCAGGACCCTGAGATCATGACCCGAGCTGAAGGCAGAGGCTTAACCCACTGAGCCACCCAGGCGCCCTTAATGATCTTTTCTAAAAAGACACCATAAACAGTGAAAAGGCAGGACATAGACTATGAGAAAATGTGGTACATATAACCAACAAAGGCTTGGTACCTACACTGTAGAAATAAATCCTACTGCTCAGTAAGAAAAGGGCAAAGAAGTTAAGGAAACCAGAAAGCATTTATGTGTTTGCGTATGGCTCATATATGATGCTGAACCTTACTACTTAACCTTACTACTTACTACGTAATCAAGGAAATGCCAATCAAAACCAGAGTAAGACACAGTACACATGCATTCAGATTGGCAAAGAAAATTTGTTTTAGTTTGATAAAAACATATATGGCAAGAATGTGAAGTAAAGGAACTCTGCTGGTAGTATAAACCATTACAACTATTTTGAAGAACAATTTGACTATACCCAGAAAATAGACTTTCTACTCCTAGGTATATACTTAGAGAAACCTTTGTATACAATAACAAAAACATAATATTCATTGCAATATTGTTTTAAATAGTGAAAAACTGGAAAAACTCTTAAGTGTCTATTGACTGGCCAGGAGATAATTAAATTGAAGTATATTCACATAATGGACTATCCTATAGTAGAGAAAATTAATGAACTAGAATTTAAAGTATTGACTCAGGTAAATCTCAAAACCATAATATTGAATGATAAGAGCAAGCTACAGATAGATACAAATAATATATTTATATAAAGTTCAATCACATGCAAAATCATTCTAATTGTTATTTAGAGTTACACATATATTGTAATATCTAAAATGATAAGCACTGGGGGACCTGGGTGGCTCAGTCATGGGTCTGACTCTGTTTTGGCTCAGGTCATGATCTCAGGGTCCTAAGATCGAGCCCTGGGTTAGGCTCCCCATTCAGTGGGGAGTCTGTGTCCTCCCCCCAACCTCCTACCCACTCGTGTGCTGTCTCTAAAATCAACAAATAAATCTTTTTTTTTTTTTTTAAGATTTTATTTATTTGGGGCGCCTGGGTGGCTCAGTGGGTTAAGCCTCTGCCTTCTGCTCAGGTCATGATCTCAGGGTCCTGGGATCGAGCCCCGTATCGGGCTCTCTGCTCAGCAGGGAGCCTGCTTCCCCTTCTTTCTGCCTGCCTCTCTGCCTACTTGTGATCTCTCTCTCTGTCAAATAAATAAATAAAATCTTTTAAAAAAAAAGATTTTATTTATTTGACAGAGAGGGAACACTAGCAGGAAGTGGGAGAGGGAGAAGCAGACTCCCTGCTGAGCAGGGAGCCCGATCTGGCTCAATCCCAGGACCCTGGGATCATGACCTGAGTTGAAGACAGATGCTTAACCCACTGAGCCACCCAGGTGCCCTGCAAATCAATAAATAATCTTTAAAAAAAAGTAAATAAAATAAAATGAAAAGCACTAACATGAGGATCAGTGTTACCTCTGAGAAAGAGGTACATTGTTTTCTATGCTTGAAATATTTAATAATAAAGAAAGAAAGAATAAACTTAAGTCTCACCAGATTAAGAGGCTTACCTAAAGTCCTACAAATGTGACAGGAATCAGCAGGATTCAAACCCAGTCACATGCTTTCTGATAACTTTTTTATTTCTCCTTTTTAAATATTCTCTAATTAATATTTTCTTACCAGTTGCCTTGAAGTCGTGAATGTAGGGGTGAGGTCTCTGAGGCAGGGTTTTGGTCTCATGATTGAACATTCATGAGCTTGCGTACGTTGTAGGAGCTCAGGGAGTAATCCGTTCAGGGCTTCATGGCTGTGTACAGTGTTCTGCATGCACACAGGAGTTATGGTTGGCCTATCTGAGTCTAAATAATGATAAATGGTGTAATGACAGAATTTTACCATTGTAATCTCTAGTAAGTTCAGGTGTTAAATTGATCATTCCATCATCTGAAAAGGAATGGCAAGAATTTTTCATTTTCTCTGGCAGCTGTGTGAGAAATGTGTTCTATATTCACCATTTTCCTGGAGTACTCATATCATCTAGTAAATGGTACATTTATAATTTCCCGTTTATTATTGTAGGTATCATAACTGGAGCATTTTACTCAGTCTCAACATTATTAAATCAAATGATACTGACATATTATAAGGTGAGTTTCTGTCTGTACTGTGTCATGCCCCTGGCCAAGAGTGTTTCTTAAACAGTGTCATTCCTGTTAGCATGATCATAAGATTAAAGATTTATTGGGGTGTGGCTCGCTCAGTTGGTGGAATGTTCGACTCTTGATCTCAGGATCATAGGTTCAAGCTCCACGTGGGATTACTTAAAAATGAAATCTTTAAAAAAGACTTATGACCTTGTTGCTTTAAAAGACTCTCATTTGTTTTAATTGAGAATACGTTTAATCCAATTTATAAAACACACAAAATGGAAAGTGGAAGGTATGATTGCTGTGACAATACCCAAGTCTTTTTCAGTACTTTTTAAAAGAAATGTGACTGGTTATATGGGAAAAAACAAACAATTTTAAGGGAAACCAACCCAAATATAAAGAAGTAAATATTAAGCTGTGACCGGTCTTTGCTTTTGAAAAGAGAAAGCAGTTGTAATATAAAAAAACTATCAGATCAATCTGCTTCTCAGATTTCTGTGAATTACATCAGAATTCTAACAAAAATCATTGCACTTTTTAACCGTGGAGGTTCAAGAAAAATTTCTTGTATTTCTCCCACATTTTAGGTATTCTTTTTTTTCTGGTTTGAAAACAGAATGTACTTGATATGTGCTTTACCAGCCTCCCACCCCCCTCACCCTAACAGATGTACTAAATTTCCGACTATATTGTATGCTTAATTTTATCGGATTATTTCCATTGACTGTGAAAGGTACGAGAGTGTGAAAGATCTATTTGAATTAGAAGTATCTGATTAACTTCTTATGAAACATTTTTTAAAGGGAGAAGAAATCAATGCTGGAAGGATTGGGCTAACATTGGTAGTGGCCGGAATGGTGGGCTCTATTCTTTGTGGCTTGTGGCTAGATCATACCAAAACATACAAGTAAGTGATAGTAGATAAATGTATGGCATACAACCTAGGGTATTTGGGGCTTAATGGAAACTTTGCTTCTTATTTTAAGAAATTTTAAAAGTGTTATTATTACTAAAAGACTTGGATTCTAGACATTCTTAGATTCCCTTCACTTCTGAATGAAGTCTATATTTGTCTTATTTTATCGGTCGTACTTTGAGAATTCGGATACCTTATGATGCAGCTTCTTCCCCTCCAGTAATAATTGTGCACACATATGTCTTTAGAAGGGATCATCGCTATTCTGTAAAAGCCCTTTCTGAGAAATATTTGACTTCTGACAGAAACTTTATCCTGTTCTTTTCTCATGTTGTAAGCTTAAAAACAATAAACAAAAAGTCGTCTTTCCTACCAAAAAATTGTTATTGAGCATAAGGCATTTTGGTAAACTCCTAGGCATTTTGCCTAGGAGTGCTTGGCTGGTTCTGTTGATGGAGCATGAAACTCTTGATCTCAGCGTCATGAGTTTAAGCCCCATGCTGGGTATAGAGTTTACTTAAAAACAAAAAAATAATATAAATACATACATACATACATACATACATAAATACAATCTTGGGAAAAAGTCTTTAAAAGTCTTTGCCTAAAGTGCCCCATGCTATAGCACCACTTAACTATACTATAATACATAATATGAAAATACAGTATTAATTATACATTTATATAATCAAAATGCTAATACAAAAGAAGAACTTAGGAATAACAACTAGGAGACTGAAAAGGGATTTCAGGGGCAGCATCTTTTGCACTGGGCCTTAAAAGAATAGGTATATATATATTTTTATGATGTGTGACTCCATTCATATAAAGCTCATTTATATTGTTAGAAGCCAAGATAGTGGCTACTCTCGGAGACAGGGAAGCAGTGATTGGAGGGGCCTTCTGGGGGTTGGCAATGGTTTTTTCTTTGGTTTTAGTGTTTTTTGGTTTTTTTTTTTCATTTGAAGTACAGTTGACATACAATATTGTATTAGTTGCAGGTGTGCAGCATGGTGATTCAACAACTATTTTTGTTTTTTAGTTAAGTTTTCCATTCCAGTATAGTTACCATACAGTGTTAGTTTCAAGTGTACAATATAGTGATTCAACAATTCTACAGCTTCTCAGGGCTCGAGAGGGAAGTGTGCTCTCAATCCCCTTCCCCTGTTCCACCCGTCCTCTTACCGTCTCCCGCTGGTGACCATCACTTTGTTGACTGTAGTGAAGAGTCTGTTTCTTGGTTTTCTCTCTCTTTTGTTTGTTTTCCTTTGTTTGTTTGTTTTGTTTCTCAAATTCCACATACGATTAAAATCCTATGGGATTTGTCTTTCCCTGACTGACTTATTTCGTATGGCTAGATCTGTTCTCTAGATCGTCCCTGTTGTAGGAAATGGCAAGATCATTCATTTTTATGGTTGAATCATATTCCATCGTATATACATGCCACATCTTCTTTATCCATTCATTATCGGTGGGCACCTGGGCTGCCTCCATAGTTCGGGCACTGTAAATGATGCCGCAGTAATCAACATAGGGGAGTGATTATTTTCCTTACTTAGTGCTCCCCGCAGTAAGTGTGGCTGCCATCTGTCACCAGACAAAGTGGTTGCAATATTATTGACTATATTCCCTGTGCTGTACTTTTCATCCCCATGACTTATTTATTTTATAACTGGAGGTTTGTATATCTTCTGGTCTTTTTTTTTTTTTTTTAAAGATTTTACTAATTTATTTGACAGAGTAGGCAGAGAAGCAGGCAGAGAGAGCGGGGGGGAAGCAGGCTCCTTGCTGAGCAGAGAGCCTGATGCGGGGCTCGATCCCAGGACCCTGAGATCATGATCTGAGCTGAAGGCAGAGGCTTTAACCCACTGAGCCACCCAGGCGCCCCTCTCTTCTGGTCTTGAAGGGGTGGCCTTATGTAGGAACCTACCCCTGTGGATGCTGTGTGCCCAGCTGTTTTGGCTGATCAGTTAGAGCTGGATTTGGTCCAAGCCAGAGGTCCTGGGGTGCTCCATGCTGGAGGTCACCCTAGTGGGAGGGCTAGAGCTGGAGCACATTTGGGCCCAATGGTCCCAGGGGCTTCAAGCCAGGTCCACAGGGGCAGAGTAGCTGGACCTGGGGCAGGCATGAGCCGGGGCGGGGAGGGGGCCCTGAGGCACTCGTAGGCAGTCTGTGCTCTGGCTGCTCTGGCTGCCCTGGCGGGGTGGCTAGGGCTAGAGCGAGTGCTGGCAGGGGTGCTCTGTACCGGGGCTGCCCAGGTAGGACAACTTGAGCTGGAACAGATGCAGTCTGGGAGGGCTGCCCTTGCGGGACAGATGGAGCTAGTGTGAGGTAGTGGACTCTGTTCCCATCTGTGCCTTCGAGGGGCCACTGTAAACAGCGGCTATCACCAGCATCCCCAACTCCACAGTGAGTTCCAGCAGTTTCCCCACTGTTCGGCAGACATTCTAGGGTTACTAAATGATTTCCTCCACTCATAGTCTAGTTGCCCCTTAAACCACTGTTGTTTTTGGTTTTTGTTGTGCCCCAGGGTGGGTGAATCTGCACAGGGACAGCCCAGTGATATCCATCCCTACCACAGGTCATTAGGTCTGCAGTGGGGTTCCCACTGGCACCCTGTCTGTCTCTCCTGCTGCTCTCTGTGTGGTCCCTCTACCCTTTATTATGCAGAAGCTGTTCAGTCCTCAGTTCTTCAGGAGGAATTGTTTTCTAGGTAGATTCTGTGTCTGTGGGAGGACATGCATTCAGGGTCTTCCTAGGCTGCCATCTTGGGCCCCTAAGCCAAGAATAGCTACATTTTTTAACAGGCAGAATCTTCCCATCTGCTTGGGAGAAAGGAATGAGTGGAGCTATGGACAAATAAATGGAATGCAATGAAATGAATGAAATATGGAATTGTCACCTATGTATCCTATGTACCTTTCAAGGCCCAACATATGTTTGATACCATTATGTAAGCCCTTCCCAAGATCCCTTATTGTGAAATTCTCCAAGATAACTCTCCCATAATTTAAGACAGCACTTGCTGTAGTTTCTATTGTGAAATGGTAGCTTACAGTGAAACCCGTTCAGTCTGTAGATAAAGGGAACATATGTAAAAGATTAAAGTTATTACTAGCCTTTGGTCCACTTTACAATTAGAAAACATGGTAGGCATAGAAATGTCTTCTTTGTTATCCTGATTTTGTCCTCAGAGTAATTGCCATTCATTCACCAAACTTGTGTTGTGGCCATAGTTCAGCTAGGGATTGTGACAAATGATATAGCATCCCTGTCCTTGAGATATTTGTGGTCTAAATGGGGAAAATAAAGCATTCATACATGAAAAATAAGAATAGAACAGACTAGGGGCACCTGGGTGGCTCAGTGGGTTAATCCTCTGCCTTCAGCTCAGGTCATGATCTCAGGGTCCTGGGATCGAGCCCCGCATCGGGCTCTCTGCTCAGCAAGGAGCCTGCTTCCCTCCTCTCCCCGCCTGCCTCTCTGCCTACTTGTGATCTCTGTCAAATAAATATATATTAAAAAAAAAAAAAGAATAGAACAGGCTAAATTAGATGTCCTACGCCCAATAGATGTCTGTCATGTGACAATTATATAGATTCTAAGTTGATAAGGGAATTTGGAAGTAGAGACAATGTTGTAAGCCGCAGTGGTTAGGAAAGGGCGTTTGGAAGAGGTGGAATGTGAACTCAGTCTTGAGCTACAGACAGGAAACTCTCCCACTTGGTGGCACAAAGGTCATTGGATCCACATGAATATTCCTTCCTGTCTGAACATTGGATATGGTGTGAGTTTTGTCGGTTGCTGCTGTTGAATCTTAAATGTAAGCTTTAAAGTCCATGCTTTGGTAGAAACATCTTCCATACAAGGGAACCTGAATCTTGAAAACCAAAGAATTGATTATTACTGTATGGACAGAGCAATGGTTAGCGACATGATTTTTATATACCTAGGAAAATCACGCAAAATACTAACAATTTTGTTTTTGTTTTAGACAGACTACTCTGATAGTTTACATTTTGTCTTTTCTGGGAATGGTTGTATTTACTTTCACATTGGACCTTGGATACATTATCGTCGTGTTTGTTACTGGAGGGGTACTCGGGTAAGCATCACGTGTGTGTGTGCGTGTGTGTGTCTGTATGTAAGAGGAATGATAGCATGCTGTTACAATTCTGAAGTATTACTGCTGTGGTTGTAAATTTTTAGTTCATTCAAATGTCTTGTAATATTTTAAACTTTAAAGAATCTATCCGGGTGCCTGGGTGGTTCAGGGGGTTAAGCCTTTGCCTTCGGCTCAGGTCATGATCTCAGGGTCCTGGGATCAAGCCCTGCATCAGGCTCTCTGCTCAGCAGGGAGCCTGCTTCCCCTCACCCTCAGCCTGCCTCTCTGCCTACTTGTCATCTCTCTCTCTCTCTCTCTCTCTCTCTCTCTCTGTCAAATAAATAAATAAATAAATCTTAAAAAAAAAAAAAAGAATCTATCCTGTGCACATAAATGCATAATTATTTAGAAATAAAGAAAAAGTAGTTTAAAAATTTTTTGGTATATATGAGAAGTGAAAAATGGAAAAGTCTTTCTCAGTCCAGGTGCCTTAATTTAGTTAGAAAGACAATTGACTTCATAAATTAGAGGTAAATCTTTCTCACAAAAAGAAAAACTTAGGAACTGCTTTATTTCTCAGTTCTTCTGTTGTTGGGCTGATTGGTGAATAATAATAGGGTCTTACTTTCATATGTTAAGTTCAAAATATTCAGTTATCTGATCACTAGAATAGGCCTGAGAACTGGAATGATTGCCTCAAGGTGGTACTATCCTTCAGGTAATTGTTTCTGTAATTCTGGATTTATTTTCCTAGTTTCTTCATGACCGGTTACCTCCCATTGGGTTTTGAATTTGCTGTTGAAATCACTTACCCTGAATCTGAAGGTACTTCCTCTGGTCTTCTTAATGCTTCGGCCCAGGTAAACCTCTAATTTCTTTTAAGTTTCAGATAATTAGTTTGCTGACTATTCTAGTGGATAACAAGTTTAAAAATAGTTTCTGTTTGAAAAATTCTGCCTTTTAGTGTTTCTAGAAGCTAAGTCATATGAATAAAATAGGAAAAGTTCTGGGGAAAAACATTGCACTAGTTTCAAAGAAGCAAATTTAACCATTATTTCTCTTATTTTAGATATTTGGAATTTTGTTCACATTGGCTCAAGGAAAGCTCACATCAGACTATGGTCCTAAGGCAGGGAACATTTTCCTTTGTATTTGGATGTTTCTAGGCATCATTTTAACAGGTAAATTAGGGCATTTTCCCAGCAAACGTGCTTATGTCATATTGTCTTTATATTTAGTTTTTATGTCTGTTTGTTCTCAATGGCTTGGCAGAACTCAAGGGGGAAAACAGAGATATAAAACAGGATATTGTCTTTTCTAAGAATATGAATCTACTAATTCATTTTTCAGATTTTAACTTCAATATGATTACTATGCATAAAAAACCAAACCATTGTATTAAGAATCAGTGAAGATTCTGGAGCGGGCAGACCAGCTTCCTTCTGGCTGTGTGACTTTAAACAAGTTACTTCACCTCTCAGATCCTCCTTTTCTCACTCATATGCACGGTATTAAAAAGCCTGCCCCAGAGGGTCGCTACGCAGATTGACTGAGGTGGTTCAGGAAACCTCCCAGCATCGTGTCTGGCACCTAGAACGTGCCTTCACGTCAGCAGTTACCATAGTGTGTGGTGCTGGAAACAGCACGTGGAATGGTTAGCCGGTTCTGACCCTGGTTAGGGATAATAGGAGTAGACATGGTCAAGAACGAGAGTAGAGCCCAGCCTGCCCAACCACTAGAGAAGGGGCCCAGAAGAGGGCTTTTATCTGTATTTTGTCTGGGTGCACTAGCGTAAAAGTGGATTTAGAAGCAAAGCGCAACGTCCAGCAGTGTTTCCACACCTGTGTTGTTTCTCCTGTCGGCTCACTTGGCTGATTTCTTTCTGCATTCCTTTGCCCTATTCAGATGGCCGTGTAAACTCTTCCATACAGTGTACACGGTGCTGAACTACCAAGCCACACATCCTGCCTCCTCCCCTAGTACTTGACGTTCCAGTGATCCCACACTACCTCTGGGGCCAGATTCTTGGCCGTTCTCCTCCCGTCTTGCGTTCTTGGCATGCACTGTTTCCTACCTGCCCAGAGTGCCTTCCTCTCCTTATCTGCTTGACAAGTTCCTACTCATTTTTCAAGTTTTAGTTCAAATGTGTCTCCTCTGGCAAGCCTTCCGTGATTTTCTCCGGACAGACAGAGGCATTTTTTTTCTCTTTTGCTCCCACTGTACCTTCTATGTAACCCGCGTGGTTGCAGTGACCCTACTGTGTTATAGTCGTTTGCTGTCCATATTTCCTTAGGTTGGGGGATGCTGTAGGGAAAGGACTGTGCTTTTCACCTTTGTATCTTTGGTTCCTACCACCCTGTATTTGTTCACTGATGAATGAATTACTAATTAAGTTAGTGGCATAGAGAAGCACTAGCATTTTTCTCATGCTGCGAGGATGCTCTTGAATGTGATGGTACAACCATGTGCTGAATGGGACAACATCAAAAAAGACTTTGTACTGCTTTGAGATAGATGCATTCATATATACCCTTTGGTGACTCCACTGATATTTCTCTGTTTCAGCATTAATCAAGTCTGATCTCAAAAGACACAACATAAACCTAGGAATTACGAACGGTGATATTAAAGCTGTAAGTAATGAATATTTTTATGATGCTGTTCCTGAGAAATGTGTGACATCAATGTGTCTAGTCAGCTGTTTTGTATCCCCGAGCCAGCTGTTGATCTGTCATGATTGCACATGCCAGAGGCTGTAAGGTGTTTTTATCCTCTAATTCTTTCTGCAGGTACCAGTTGAAGATAGTCCCACAGATCAAGAATCCAAAACCATGATGATATCCAAGCAGTCAGAATCGGCAATTTGAGGCGAAGGAAAAAGTTAACATCATGTGATAGTTGAGCAGTAAGTCTCGATTTATATGTGACAGGAGGTGGATACTTACTTGAAAATTATTATGTGACCCTGGACTACAATTCCTGTCTTGCTTCATTGTTAATGTAAAGCAAGATTTTACTTAAAATACTTGGGCTCGCCGCCTGTGAACACTACCGTTGATGTACCAAGCGTCCCACTGTTAATCTCCTGTCGCTGATCAGAAAGTAAGCTTCTTGATGTGTATTTTCTGAAGGTGTTTTCTTTTTTACGGAAAATGGAAGGTCAGAGGCTTTCTAAAATGATAATGTGGAGGTCTGGTCCTTTTAAGTCACATAGAAGTACATGCCATGCAGAACCCTGTGTACATTATATTACTCACTGGCTCCCTTTCCATTATTCTGACCCAACTGTCCAGTCCACGTCAGTGGGCCTACCAACATGGCACCTCTGAGCCCTCACAGGACAGCACTGGGACGAGACTTCCACAGAAACCTCTAGGATTTTTCCAGTTTCCTCTGTTCTTGTTAAATAATGCTTTGTAACATGTACTGTCAGTGGCCATCAAAACTGTTCTTTGTTCACGCTGAACCCATGACCTTGGTCTTAGACTTGTGTTCTAATTAAGCTAAGGAGCCCAGACACAGGCTCATTATCTTGAGTTCTCTGCACTGCCTTCCTGTCATGGTCTAAATGCTAATACTGTTCTTTTCAATCCTACTTGAAATAAGAGTAATTTTGTACCCACTACCTTGTTCACCCTGTTTTTTTCAACACAGGCATACCTCGGGGATACTGCAGGGTCCGCTCTAGACCATTCAGAATAAAGCAAATATCACCATAAGTGATTGAGCTCAATCCTTTGGTTTCCCAGTCCTTATAGAAGTCATGTTTACACTATTCTATAGTCCATTAAGTGTGCAGAGGACTGAAAGAACAATGTATAGACCTTAAATGAAAAAAGACCTCTTGCCAAAGAATGCTAACCCTCATCTGAGCTCTCTGCAAATCATAACCGCCGATCCCAGATTACCACACTAAATAGAGTAATAATGATAAACTTTGAAATATTGCAAGAATTTCCAAAATGTGACCCAGACACACGAGCAAGCAAATGCTGTTGGAAAAATGGCACCAATGAACTTGCTCAATGCAGGGTTGCCACAAACCTTCAATTTGTTTAAAAACAAACAACAACAACAAAAAACCACAGTATCTATGAAGGGCAGGAAATGAAAGCACAAAAAACGAGGTATGCCTTTGTATAACTTTCTAGCAGGAAATGCCATCGTATGTGTTGTTGGCTTTTTCATGATTTCTCGCATCATGCCTAATACTTTGGCTTGAAGGTTGCAGAGATAAATCTGTGGTAACGTAGCCCAGGGGTTCTGATTTGGTGGAGACCTCTGGAAATGCTGTCTTCGTGCTGCACTGTCGTGTGTATGCCTGTTCTCCTTCGAGGAACACTGTGCCTGGGTACGTGCTCCCTCGGTGGGCGGGGGAGTGTATTTTCTTCACCAGAGTGTACGTAGTCTCCACACTGTCGGAAAAAAGTCTGCTCTGTTACATGCTCAGGGTTAGGAAAATAGGACCAAACGTGTTTCTACAGTGCCTACCACTGCGTTTTGTTTACAGTGAGAATTTAAATGTTGTTCCTGTCCTGACTCTTTTAAGCTGATAGGAAAATATCTTTACAATAATGACATCTAAGCAGCCATGATACTCAGATTATGTCCACATCAACCAGAAAAAAAGCCAGTCAGGTATACCCTTGAATACTCCTGCTAATTGGCAATTAGCAATTAATTTGCTAATTAGCAATTCTGATTTGGGCACGCTCTGTGCATTGCTTTATACTGAAATGATAACATTCTCTGTAATCAAACGACAGTAAATTATGTAGACTTTTACCCCGGAGAATATGTCACCAGGAGAACGTAGTTGGGAATCAGGAGCTCTGGGTCTGTGACCTGGGTCTGTTTCGAGCTGTCCCTGTCACTCCCTGGCCAGCATTTTCCTCATCCATATAATGAATGTGTCCACTTTGGCCTCAGAGATCTTTTTTGAATCTTAAATACCATCTGTCATGGGGTTGACCAGATCACTGAACCACAGAACTTGGGTCTAGTGAGAGAAGAATCTTCCCCTGGAGAATCCAGTCAGCAGCTGTGGTGGATACTTGGCGGATATGGGGAATTTAGCGTCTGTGTTTTGCTTTTTCTCTTTAGTGGGTGACAGGGCAGGCAGAATGTGCTGAGTCATTAACTTCCTTAGATATGTGCGTCACAGGTTTTATGGCCAAAAATACATTCTAAAAATCTCTCCTAAATAATTATTTTTATTTTTGAGCTATCAGTTGTTTAAAATAATCATGTACTTCCTGAATTCCCGAGCTTTTGAAAAAAATTACAGGCAAGAGGTGAACTACTTTGTTTCTGAAAAGCAGCATATGCATATATGTTGTGTGTGTCTTTCTTTGTTGATTAGAAAAAGGAGGAAATAGGATGTTCCAAAACACAAAATGGAGTGATAACTTTTTCTGTATTTTGAGTCACACTTGTAACACGTCAAACAAGAATGTCATATAATTCTGTCTTATCTTTGGAAAATATAAGTGTTGGGTAACCCAACACTTGTGTAAGTTTTAATGAAGTGATTTTAGAAAGAAATTGGATGCTTTCGAAAGCCGTTGCATTTATAAATGTGGCAAGAAAAAAAAACACTAGCTTTTGCCTTTTGTGAATGTTGGAGAAATGTCTTTAAAAGTATGTTTGTGTGCAAACTCAGAGTATTATCTGTAATAAGTCATCTTTCATGTTCTAATTTTTGCTTTTTGTACTATTTGTCGGTGTGCTTGTCCTTCTGGGTTTCAGACCTGAAATAAATTTATTTTTTTAATGGTCATTTTGTATAGCTTTTTTTTTCCCCCCAGTTCTGATCCTTACGTACCCATGGGGAGTGGAAAGGGACTGTACAATTTCAAAATGGGCCAAGGAGAGAGTTTTGTGGAGCACAAGGAGACAAAGTCCCCCAGGGTCAGACTAAACAGCAAAGTAGGACGGGCTTAATCTCTTCTCCTTGGGTGCCTGACTCCTCCTTGGGCAGACAGGTGTCTGCCATGAGCCATCTGGGGGTCGACCTGACACCCATGCTGCAGACTTTCCCTTTGGAGACCTATATGGGACCTGATATCCCACAGCAGGTGTCATTTTTTCCTCAAGGCCTTGCTGATTAACATCATAAAACCAAACTATAAATTTCTTCATTGGAAAATCGGGTTTGATGAACGCTTGTTCTCGATGAGCTTCAGTGAGATAATACATAAGAAACATTTAGCAGAAAGCTTGACATAGCCAATACGCCAAAGTCTCGGCTACTATTTTTATGCACTTATGACTAGCACCAAATTACCACTTAAAAGTATTTGGATCTGAAGAGAGAAGTTCAAGTGACTTACATCATTGAGGTAAATTTGAGCTCCTGGAGAGCGGCCAATACAGAAGATATTTCGGGGGGAAGGGAGTGGTAACCACATTATTCAAATCAGACCTGGCAGGTGCCTGCCGACTCCACATCCTCCTGAAGCCAGTCCTGTATGCAAATAAACTGGTTGGCCACGATTAAAGAAAGTATCATTGAGACCGGAGGCTGGATGAGAAATTAGTCTAGGGCAGTGAATCTCAAAGGTTTTGGTCTCAGAATTCTTTTACACTTAGGAATCCTTGAGGAGCCTGGGTTGTCTGGGTGGCTCAGTGGGTTAAGCATCTGCCTTCAGCTCAGGTCATGATTTGGGGATCCTGGGATCGAGCCCCGCATCCAGCTCCTTGCTCTGAGGGAAGCTTGCTTCTCTCTCTCTCCCTCTGCCTGCTGCTCCCCCTGCTTGTGCTCTCCCCAACCCCATAAATAAAATCTTAAAGAATCATTGAAGAACCCAAAGAACTTTTTCTGGGTTACGGCTGTTAATGTTAATCATAGTAGAAACTAAAACAAAATTATTTTATTCATTTAAAAATAACTTCATTATATCTTAATAAATCACATTTTAAAAAAATATTTATTTATTTGAGAGAGAAAGAGAGAGAGAACAAATGAGCAGTGCGGAGGGGCAGAGGGAGAGGGAGAAGCAGACTTTCTCCTGAGCAGGAAGCCTAACTCGAGGCTCAATCCCAGGACCCTGAGATCATGACCTGAGCCAAAGGCAGACACTTAACAAACTGAGCCACCCAGGTGTCCCTTAATTAATTACATTTTTATGAAAAATAATTACTTTCCAAAATAAGTGTAGTGAGAACAACGACACTTTTTTTAAAAAAATAACATAATGTATTATTTGGCCCAGGGGTACAGGCCTGTGAGTCATCAGGCTTACACATGGCACTTTAATGTTGAAAGAGGGCAGAAATCCTCCATGTCTGGCTTCATAGAAGGCCACTGGATTCTCCTACCAGATCCTACATTCAGTCTGTAGGGATAGGCTATTTTGACATGTTTGAAGAAAAGCTTTGCACACGTGCGCAGTTGGAAAAGGAGAAGTATTTTAGTAGCCTTTTCAGGGAATTGTGGATAGTCTTTTTTTTTTTTTTTAAAGATATTATTTATTTATTTATTTGACAGAGAGAGACATGGTGAGAAAGGGAACAGAAGCAGGGGGAGTAGGAGAGGGAGAAGCAGGCTCCCTGCTGAGCAGGGGGTCCAACATAGGGCTCCATCCCAGGACCCCAGGATCATGACCTGAGCCGAAGACAGACAGATGCTCAATGACTGAGCCATCCAGGCAGCCCTGTGGATAGTTTTTAATACGATCACAAGTTGGAGCTGGTAGTATCTTAAAGACTAGTTGCTATGTGGACTCTGAAGCCATATCAGTAAACCTCTCCTGCTTTGTTAACATTAAAATCTAATGGTCCGTCTTGTACTTCCAATAGATCTTTAACTATGCATGGTTTTGTAACGTTCTGCGTTGGCATTTGGAAAGTATTATTTCACTGAGTTATGTAGCTCTTCCAAATATTGATTTATCCCATGATATGATGCCAGATAACTCACCTTTGTTAAGACCTCTGATCTCATCAGAAATTCCTCTCCGTGCTGGGAAGCCGTCAAGCTCATACAAGTCTCCTAAGACTTGTTTTGGTAGATACAGGGTTTCCAGAATGCTAATTTTAGTTTGGAAACTTGATTCTTAACATTGAGGAAGAAAAAAAAAAAATCTGTCAGTTGTTTCTTGAAGCGAGGGACTCGCTTCATTGCTTTTTGAAAAAATACCTGCCAAGCCCGCATCTGAATAACTCCCATGTACCTGTCAGCCATCCTTTCAAGTGAAAAATGACGTTCTTTGAAAATCAACTTCTCGTTCAGCCTGCATCTCAAACAAATGTACCGCAGCTTTTCCTCGAAGCAAGCCTCATCCTTGGCCGTGTTCAGAAGTGTGAGGTGCGTACCTGCTGGTCCATCACACAATAGTGGAAAGTCACGTGCCCGAGGATCAGCGTTCAAGAGCTTTGACGTTTTGCACCAAGGCGAGTCTTCGGCGGCGCTGACTTTCTTTTTTTCACTGCCACCGAATGACGGGGAAGAACCCTGCGGCCACCAGAGCCGCTCGATGCCTGGGCCTTGATTCAGCACGAAGTTTCCCCCAGTTTTTTCCATCCCTGCCCCTGTGCCGTCCGAGCAAATGTCAGTGCAGTGAAAAAGGTGCATCGCTTCTTTCTAGGAGGATGCAAGAGTTCGACATGGGTCTTGGGGACTCCCAAGGTTCCACCGACCACACTTTGAGGACCACTCTTGTGGAAAAGAGACTAGCTGTCATCGGTGCGGATCAGAGATGGACGGCAAGAGAAACCAGGGAGAACAGTCGGGAGAGCAGGGTCGAAGTTCCAAGGCCTCTAAAGAGGGGCCCCATGGAAGAAAATCCATCACAGACACAGCAGAGCCTATGGGGAAAGAAAGGGAAAAACTGATAGTTTGTTAATGTAGCCAAAGGGAAGAAGCAGGCAGGGGCAATGAAGATGCTCCCGAAGCCATAAAAATGTTAGCAGTACCACTTTTCATTCTATTTTAATTATAATCAGTGTGGCAGTTCGAGATGCAGTTTCCAGTTTTACGTAGCTTTGTAGGTAGCTAAACATTAAGGCAAAGGTCATAAAACTGAAATAAAATG